TGTGCCTCTACTGTGGCGGACCGTGACCGCGTCACCCGCGGGAATTGAACCCATGACCATTTTGGGGGGGGGCCCCCCCCACCCCCTTATAATTGATATCTAATACATAACGGCTAGAATTCCACGTTTATCCCGGGCTGGCCCCCCAATACCCCCTATGCTTGTGCTGAAGCACGGAGAACTCAGGTAGCTGACGCGGCACTGAACAGGCGCGGCAAAGGTAGCTTTTGCACATGTTGCCACTCTAGCGGTATGCGGTATTTCAGCTGGTGGTTCCAAGCGCGCTCAGAGCAGAAGCGGGTCAGAGAAGAAGTAGCCCAGATAAAAGGCAGCTCAAAGAAGAAGTAGCTGCGAGGTAGCTCAGCGAAAGGGTGTCTCAGTGAAGAAGTAGCTCAGTGAAGAGGTAGCTTAGAGAAGAGTTGGCTTAGGGAATGGGTAGCTCAATGAAGTAGTGATTTATTCGTTCGTTTGTTCCTTCGTTCGTTCATTCCTTTCATGTCTTTCATGTCTTTCATGTCATTCATGTCATTCATTCCTTCCTTCCTTCCTTGCTTGCTTGCTTTCTTTCTTCCTTCCTTCCTTGCTTGCTTGCTTTCTTTCTTTCTTTCTTTATTTCTTTCTTTCTTTCTTTCTTTCTTTTCGTTCGTTCGTTCTTCCTTTCTTTCTTCCATTTCATTTCACTCCACTTCACTTCACTTCACCCCAGTCATCCATGCATTTCATTCATTCATTCGCTCCTTCTTTCATAAACTCGCTTCACTCATTCGTTGACTCATTCATTGATCACTCAGTCACAGATTGATTCACCCATTCACTGAGTCATTGATTGAATCATTCCCTCGTTGATCCATTCAATGATTTACTTGTTCATTGGTTTCCTCATTGATTGAAATCATTCGTTAATTCGTCATCGATTCAACGAAACATTCATTCATCGGTTCTCTCATTCTTTGATTCAATGGTTGATTCATTCAGTCATTCCTTCATTGATTCACTCATTCATTGGTTCCCTCATTCAGTGATTCGTTCATTGATCGCTCAGGCACTCATTGATTCACTCTGCCATTGAGTCATTGATTGAACCATTCGCTCATTCATTCTTTCAATGACTCACTCATTGGTTGATTCATGCAATGATTCACTCATTCATTGATGCACTCATTCATTCATTCGTTCATTGATTCACTCATGAACTGCTGGATCCACTCAATCAAGTTCCGTCCATCTCAACAACCATGTGGTCATTGGTTCATGCGCCTCACAACCTTAACTTTTCATTGCTTCTGCATCTCACAGACATTCCTATAGTCCATGGTTTTTCTTACAGATCTTATAGTCATTTCATGTCATTCCACTGATCGAAAACTTCCGCCCCGGCACAGCCGATCACTACTGGTACTCACATACATATTGTATACATTCTGTATACCGGTATTCGCATACATATTGTATACATTTGTAAACCAGTATGTGTAGATTAAATAGTTGTCGTTATTTTCTTCTAACATGCTGCAATGAACGTTTACTTGCGGGAAATTATTCCGAGGTGTGTTTTGCAGGGATTGCGAACTCTAAATTTACAGTATCCAGGGAATGGCCAGCAAGAGTTCTTTGCAACTTCAAGACACAAAAAGCCTGGAGCCCTACAGCGTATGCCCCCAGCACAAGAACCGCTACCCCCACTACAACCAGCAAGACCGGAGGTGACTTCACAGCACTTTTACATACAATCTTTCTGGAGCGCAAGAGTATGCAAGAGTTATATCACAGAACACCCTTCTACACATGCACTGCATGTGCAGATTTCGAAGGTTGGTGCCTCTCACGACGAACACTGCCCAATCAGTCCAGGCAATCATTCTGTCTTAAGTTCGCAGGCATTTACTGAACTAATCTTCGCACCCCGGACACAACACTCAACAAAAGCAATGACAATAAGGGTCGTGATATGTACTATCGCTCCTCGCAAATCGCTCTGGGCACTCATGAGTCAGAAGGATCAAATACAGTACATGTTCTACTATCAATTCTGCTTTAAGCAATCCTTGTACAACAGCAACGCCACTCTTCTTGTGCTCTAGCAGGAAATCATCAGAGGCGGGGGCAAACTGAAAAAATAAAATGGGTCACTATGCAGCCTGTAGAAGCAAAACTCAAAAAAACTAAGCTGGCGGCAGTGTTTTGTCAGTGTCATTTTGAAAAATTCGCATGATGCCCACGAAGGCCTGCCAGCGCTGAGAAAGCCTTGCAACGTCCGAACAAGAGCGAAATCAAAACAGCGCAGCCTGCATGTCGGTGCGTTGAGAAAAGAAACAGCGGAACAACCGCTCGGGGATTTCATCTACCTTGGCGCAGGTTTGTGAACGCTCTGAATACTGACGCAAATGGCAAGCTTGCTGAACTTTCAATGATTTCAGGTCAGGTCTCACGTCTCCACTAATCAGTTGCACTGAGTGCGATAGACAAATGGCTTAGTCAAGGAGCTACGGTGCAGGGTTTTTGGGCCGGGGCTCATTGCTCCAGGGCAAGCTCTGTTTTTGCAATCCATTCGCATGCTAAGTTTTCACAGCTTGATCAAGACTGGCATTTTTGATACGAGCAGTTGGCACGAAGCCTGAAAAACTTGGTGATGATGGTGCCTGTCAAATGGAATGTCTGACGCATATTCTCAAAGCAGCTCCTTTGTTCAGAGGGGGAAGTTAAATTGGCCGGGTGCCGTGGGCTTTCGAAGTTGAGATCTAGATACGTCGTCTGAATCCTGAAACCGAGCGTTGTTCAACATTTGTATAGTCGAGGTTCGATGGATTTTAGACTTGCAATGACCATCACAGAGCAGCAAATACAAAACAGAGGCTACCGCCGTTCCCAAACAAGCAAGGAGAAAACGCAGAAGTGGGCAGCTCTAACTTCAGCAGCACTTCATAGATTGTGAGGAACGTATGGTTGTGTGGAAAATGACTTTTTGAACTCTAACTGCAACCTGCGGCCATGTTGGATCTATTTGCCCTTGAAGAACATGGATGCTTCGCGGCTTTGCGAATGAAGGACGTCAACTGGGCTAACTGACTTCTGAGGAGTGATCCACCTCAATCAAGCAAATCAATGCTGAAGAGTGCCAGTGTACTGCCCAAAATCAGCATGAGAAGGCATCATGCATCATGACAAGTCTTGGATGAGGCAATGGTACAAAGAAGCTTCTGAATCACATGGCAACATGTTTTCCTACTCTAATGTCTGAAGATGTCTGAAGTCTCTTCCATCATTGCGCATCCTGCACACCAAACATTGCCGGGCCTCACTCGGCACAGCTTCTGGCAATCCGCCTGCGGTGATTTGTTTGCGAGATGAGGGTAAGGGAAGATAACAAGCACCATCATAATTGTCATATCCAAATAGCGACACGTCCATGATTGTATGAAGCTGTGTTGAGTTTCATGCTTAACACAAAAGCTGATCGGACCGTCAAGATTTCTTGGCTCAAGGAGTTCTAGGAGCTACTTTCACTGTTGATAGTTGCCTAGCGTCAAAAACTTCAAATCCCCAGGAAAGTGTCCAAGAAACTCTGTCCCCAGCAAACTGCCTCTTGCCTTCATCTTCACCGGCGCTCCCGTTCAAGGCTTTTCCGTTGTGCCCGGGAGTCTTCTTCTCCGAGGGCTCGTCACTTCTTGCTTTTGCTTCATTGTCTTCGTCTGGCCTTAGTGATTCAGTGATAGGTTCAAATCATGTCATGGTGGAGTCTTAGAGTTTTAGAGTATCTTACAGTAGTGTGTCATCTTCCCTCATCATCTGAATCTCAGGAAAGCACGTTGTCTCAGATCTCTCCTCCACCTGGCAAGCTGTACAGTGGATGCTGAAGTGGGCATTGCCAGAGCTTGTTCAAGATGATTGATTCCTAAGTAGCTATGGGATCTACGTGACGCTGACGCTCCAATGCCGCAATGCCAGGCCACCTTCTTGGCAGGAGGCCCTGCCCACGAGAGATGGGATTCTAAAGTCATCATAAAGGTCATCAAACATTTGCAAGCTACACACCCCAAGCCCAAACGCATGGCGCAGTCATCCACACGCCACACACACACACACACCAAATATACATCTGAATTGCAGCTGCAGGAGCTACCTCTTCGTTGAGCTATACGTCTGCGTGAAAATCTCCCTTTTGACTTGTTGCTCGGCTTTTCGCTCGGCTTGTCAAGCTTTTCCTCTAAAAATTCTTGAGCGTCATCAGCCTCAATTGCGACGCGGAAGATGTATGCAAACTATGAACAAATCCAGCCCACAATTCTTCATCTTTCCTCAGTAAAGATTTGGTGAATCTTCGGGCTGTAGAACGTCTGGCTAGCTCAAAAATCTATCACCAAAGCTGGATCCTTGGGAAGACTTCTCCCCATCTTGCATTCCCCAGAATTACCCAAGTCATCGGAAGTCTATGCGCCTTGGTTGTTTGCTTCTTATTTCTCGGATTCTTTCTTGGTTTTCTTGGCAACTTTGGCACATTCTCATTTCTTGCATCCTGGGCAAAGCAGCCAGGTAGAACACTGCTTTGAAATCACAGTAGTGCATAAGCACACAAGACAGGCTACGTGGCAAGGAGAACAAGGTTTAGGTGTGACTGGCTTGAGCATCTGTGTTTTGAAACTTCCCTGCCTCTTGAGGCAGGCAAGGGACAGGTGTCCACTTCTTTGTCTTCTTCGATTCACCTTTGCCCGATTTAGCCCAACACCCCCTCTTAAACATTCTTAAACCATGACTGAATGTGAATTTCAAGTGAAAATCAGTGAGGGCAGCCAAGAGACTATCTTTGCTTCCATCTTTGGGCGGCATAGGCCCCCTTTGAAGCATAGAAGAAATTCATAATTTACATCATGAGAGCTTGAGCCGAAATGGATGACACAAAGTGCAGCGACCAAAGAGTGCCTCACAAGAAACTACACCGGTAGATCCATCAGAGGTGGGAATGAGAACTCCCGGACGACCCTTGGACGACCCTGGCACTCTGCTTTTCGATCCTTGAGATGTGGCTGCTGAAAACACTCATTGTACTATCGTATCCTGGATTCCATGCTGCTGATGCAGCAAGTCATGTCTGGTCTCAAGCTTACAAGGCTTACCAGGTCGGAATTGGCCCCAGGAAAATGTAAGACTCCTGGGTTCGTACCCAATGATAGAACCTGAGCATTCCAACGTGATGTCGCAGTCAACAGAATGATAACACATTTGAAACATGCACATCATGTACATGTAAAAATATATCCGGCATATCCGCGAGACATGGCTTGGCTTCTCCAAGGTCTGGGCTGAGAGATGACGCTCGTTGAGATTCCACGAGGGACAGACAGGAAAAGCTGATAGTCAGCGGCCATGGATACGTAGAAACACCTGGTACACTGAGAGTATGAAACCCAGGAAACTTATCTTTTGCCTCTGGATCTGCCTCAAGCCCTTTCAAATGACTCATAAGCAAGAGATGCTATTCTCGCACAACACAGCACCACTGGTGACTTAAAGATCTTAAAGGCATGCTTCCTTTACAACTCAAAATCCTGCTGTCTTGGCCACTGGCTCGTGGTTTGTGGCTACACAAACCTGACACGGCACCTGAAATCGTGAGGCAACACAGCTGCTTGTGGATTCTCTGATGACGTAAATCCTCAAGACTGTGCGTGGGTATGTACATATGTACAAATTAATTTGTGGCACTGTGTGTGTGATTATCGATCTGCACATCAGCTCTAAATCTAATTATAGTTTATATGTGTACGTATGTCAGTCTGTATGTATCTATGTATGTCTGCATGTCTGTATCACCGTATGCCTGTATGTTTGTCTGTATGTGTGTATGTGTGTGTGTATGTCTGTATGCATATTTCCTCGTCATACGTACGTATGCGTATGCGTATGCATATAGGTGTGCGTATGCGTATGCGTGTGCATACGCGTATGATTGTATGTGTATGTGTATGTGCAAGTGTGTGTGCATGTGCAAGTGTATGTGTAAGTGTGTGTGTGTGTCAGTGTGCATGTGTATGTGAGTGAATGTGTACGTGCATGTTAATGTGCATGTGCATGTGCATGTGCATGTGTATGTGTATGTGCATGTATACACGAGGCAGGCACGCACGCATGTTTCTATGTATATATATATACTAGTCAGTGCCGGAATTATAGAACGGAAGTTGAGGAGTACGAAGGTACGGTTATTTACCGTACCCTGTTGTTCTATAATTCTGTTTTCCTCGGAAGGTGTGAAAAAAAAACGTACAGTATCTGAATTTACTCCTAACTTTTTTCGTCGTTCTATAATTCTTGTCGGAGCGCTGCTGTTCTATAATTATGTTTTCCCCCATTTTTCTCACATTTCCCGTTTTCGTTCTATAATTAATGTTTCCCGGGCCCCGTTCTACAATTAATGTTTCCCGGGCCCCATTCTATAATTCTTGTCGGAGCGCTGCTGTTCTATAATTCTGTTTTCCCCCATTTTTCTCACATTTCCCATTTTCGTTCTATAATTCCTGTCGGAGCTCTGCTGTTCTATAATTCTGTTTTCCCCCATTTTTCTCACATTTCCCATTTTCGTTCTATAATTAATGTTTCCCAGGCCCCGTTCTATAATTAAATTTCCCGACTCCGCGCGGAATCGGAACGCGGAGGAGTACAAAGGTACGGTATTTTACCGTACTTTTGTACTCCTGGCTCCGTTCTATAATTCTGGCACCCGCTGTATACATATCAATGTATGTATAGGTATGCACATAATTAATATATATATATATTATATTGTTATATGTATTTATGTGGACAATTTCTCGCGCCCTGGGAGATGTGCCTGTGTGTATGTGTGTGTGTGTCTACAAGCTGCGGCGCTGCACTACGAAGATTTGGAAAATCCTGGAGGAAGCTAGACATCTATTGCTCTGGTGGTCACTGGAGCCAACTTCTAGAACTCGAGAATGCTCTAAATTTCAAGGGATGGACATCTCAATATTGTTGAGATATTACATGACATTACTGGCAGTGCTACTGTATATCTGAAGATTGGCCACTCTTGTCGGGGGTTGAAGACGTCATGTTGGCTTCAATGCAGCTACAGCAAGTGAGGCTAGCAAGGCTTGTAATTGGAAGATCTTGGAAGATCTTGGAAGATCTTGGAAGCTTAGTGCCTGGCTTTGGCATTGCGCAGCAACTGCCGGCAACGGCCATAATTTCGAAAAAGCATCTTGACTCGATGCCGGGATTGATATGGCCTCGGCAACAATCCAAGGCGTCCAAGGCATCCGAGGCGTCTAAGGCGTCTGACGCCTTCATTGCAAGAAACAAAGCAATGACATGCAATAATAACTGTGGCGATGTATGCACTCTGAGTCATCCGCTCCGCTATCTGCGATGAGAAGTATTGCTGAAGGCCTGGGAGATAGTACCTGCATTGAGATTTTCTTGGAATTTATTGGATGGATTTTGGGAGAGTTTGTTTTCTTTCAAGGAAAACTCCTGTCAAGTCACGCTGCGTGAATGATTCCGTCAAGCAGCCTGGCCATGCAAAGAAGTACAGTAGAGTACAATTTAGAATGCAAACATATTCGTCACTTGTCTAGATTTTGTTTTCATTGCAGTTTGCTGGCAGAACGGTGATCATCTTTTTCAGGAGAGGCTCCTCGGCTCCCTCAGCAAACTATTTCCTCTGCTCAGCTTCGATTGTTTACTGCGAATCCAAGGTATCTCATATCAAGATCAAGTATTGATAATGATTTTTCGTCTTCATCTGAGTCTTGGATTCCCCTTGTGTTATCCACCCGCGCTTTGCGCAAGTGCAGAGATATCCTTACTGGTAGCCCCCTGTGTTCTTAAAACACAGCCACGGGTTATTACAGCAAAGTCAGTGTCCGACAATGCTATCATATACTATGCCCTCTGAGTACATTATATTGTGATCACAAGCAACTACGCATACATGCATACATGCATACACACATACATACATACATCCACATACATACATGCATACATCATACACACATACATACATACATACATACATACTTACATACATACATACATACATCCATCCATCCATCCATACATACATACATACATGCATACATGCATACACACATACACACATACATACATACATACATACATACATACATACATACATACATACACACATACACACATACACACATACACACATACACACATACAAACATACAAACATACAAACATACAAACATACAAACATACAAACATACAAACATACAAACATACAAACATACAAACATACATTACATTACATTACATTACATTGCAGTACATTACAGTACATTACATTAATACATACATACATACATTCATGCATGCATGCATGCATGCATGCATACTTACATACTTACATACGTACATACGTTACATACTTACATACTTGCATACTTACATACTTACATACGTACATACGTACATACTTGCATACTTGCATACTTGCATACTTGCATACTTACATACTTACATACTTACATTACATTACAAACCATTAACATTTAAATTAACATACATACATTACATACATACATTACATTACATTACATTACATTAAATTACATTACATTACATTACATGCCATTGCATTACATACCATTACATTACATACTATTGCATTACATTACGTTACATTACATTACATTACATACTAACATACATACAATACATCCATACATACATACCATTACATTACATACCATTGCATTACATACCATTACATTACATAACATTACATTACATTACATTACATCACATCACATCACATAACATACATATATACTTAATTATAATTCTATATATATGGGGGTTGTCCTAAATTACTGTTCCCACAAAGGCCTCTTGGGCCGAGCTTGCCCCAACCTTGCGCGTTTCTTGCGCGACCACACTCCCGGATCACTTTCATCATTTCAGTTGTTTTTCATCATTATTCTCGTACTGGTTTTCGAATGTTAAATATTTAGTATTCACTTAGTATTTCGTACTGGGAAGTAGTTTGTGCAAGCTTTGTAGTACACAGTAGTACTGGGAAGTAGTTTGTGCAAGCTTTGTAGTACAAAGTAGTATTGGGAAGTAGTTTGTGCAAGCTTTGTAGTAAAAAGTAGTACTGGGAAGTAGTTTGTGCAAGCTTTGTAGTACACAGTAGTACTGGGAAGTAGTTTGTGCACGCTTTGTAGTACAAAGTAGTACTGGGAAGTGCTTTGTGCAAGCTTTGTAGTACACAGTAGTACTGGGAAGTGCTTTGTGCAAGCTTTGTAGTACACAGTAGTACTGGGAAGTAGTTTGTGCAAGCTTTGTAGTACAAAGTAGTACTGGGAAGTGCTTTGTGCAAGCTTTGTAGTACGCAGTAGTACTGGGAAGTGCTTTGTGCAAGCTTTGTAGTACACAGTAGTACTGGGAAGTGGTTTGTGCAAGCTTTGTAGTACACAGTAGTACTGGGAAGTGGTTTGTGCAAGCTTTGTAGTACACAGTAGTACTGGGAAGTAGTTTGTGCAAGCTTTGTAGTACAAAGTAGTACTGGGAAGTGCTTTGTGCAAGCTTTGTAGTACACAGTAGTACTGGGAACGACTTTGTGCAAGCTTTGTAGTACAAAGTAGTACTGGGAAGTAGTTGTTGCAAGCTTTGTAGTACACAGTAGTACTGGGAAGTGCTTTGTGCAAGCTGTGTAGTACAAAGTAGTACTGGGAAGTAGTTTGTGCAAGTTTTGTAGTACACAGTAGTACTGGGAAGTGCTTTGTGCAAGCTTTGTAGTACACAGTAGTACTGGGAAGTGCTTTGTGCAAGCTTTGTAGTACACAGTAGTACTGGGAAGTGCTTTGTGCAAGCTTTGTAGTACACAGTAGTACTGGGAAGTGGTTGTGCAAGCTTTGTAGTACACAGTAGTACTGGGAAGTAGTACTGGGAAGTAGCTCTGCACGTGTTGAACTTCTGTGGTTTCAGAGCGGTTTCAGAGTGGTTTCAGACCCCTTCGGGGGGTCTAGCTGACCTTGATGAAAAGAACAATTTACAGACAGAAAAGACTTGAACACAACATACAAGGAAATACATTTAAAGAGCAGATAGATAGATAGATAGATAGATAGATATAGATAGATAGATAGATAGATAGATAAATAGATAGATAGATAGATAGATAGAGATAAAGCAGCCAACGCGGTCCGGAAGACATGCAGCAGCAGCCCGGAGATGGTGAGCAGGAAGGTGTTTCAGAATGGTTTCAGACCTCTTTTGGGCTTGTTTTTTGGGTACCCCCAGCTTTGGGAGATGAAAAAAGAAAGAGAAAAGGTAGAGAAAGAGAGAGAGAGAGACAGAGAGAGGAAGAGGGAAAGAGAGAGAGAGATAGAGAGAGAGAGAGAGGAAGATGGAAGATGGAGACAAACAGAAGGCGAGAGAGAGAGAGAGACAGAGAGAGGAAGAGGGAGAGGAAAGAGAGAGAGCGTTGTAAATGGTGAGCAGCGGGGTGTTTCAGAGTGGTTTCAGACCTCTTTTTGTCCGTAGGCTACCTCAGCTTTGGAGAAAAAACAGGAAAGAACGGAAAAGAAAGAAGAGAAGGGAGAAAGAGACAGAGAGAAAGAAGAAGTCTTGAGACGGTGAGCAGGAAGATGTGTCGAACTGGTTTCAGACCTCTTTTGGGGCCGGTTATGGGGCTATAGTTCTTAAGACATCCAAAAGAAGGGGCTCAAAACAGATTGTACTTGAAACACATGCGGTCCGGAAAGACGTGCAACGGTCCGGAAAAGCAAGCACCCAAAACGTACTCTAATCGTAGCGATTGCGCTCCGGAAAGGCATGCAGCGGTCCGGAAAAGCGAGCACCCAAAACATACTCTAATTGTAGCCATTGCGGTCCGGAAAGACCTGCAGCGGTCCGGAAAAGCAAGCACGCAAAAAGTATTCTAATTGTAGCCATTGTGGTCCGGAAAGACCTGCAGCGGTCCGGAAAAGCAAGCACCCAAAAAGTATTCTAATTGTAGATTTCGCGGTCCGGAAAGACATGCAGCGGTCCGGAGCAGCAAGCACCCAAAACGTACTCTAATGTAGATATTGCGGTCCGGAAAGACCTGCAGCGGTCCGGAAAAGCAAGCACCCAAAACGTACTCTAATTGTAGACATTACGGTCCGAAAGACATGCAGCGGTCCGGAAAAGCAAGCACCCAAAATGTACTCATTGTAGCCATTGTGGTCCGGAAAGACCTGCAGCGGTCCTCAAAAAGCACAAGGCGGACCACAACGGCTACAATTAGAGTACGTTTTGGGTGCTTGCTTTGTCTCTCCTCTCTTTCTCCCTTCTCTTCTTTCTTTTCCCGTTCTTTCCTGTTTTTTCTCCAAAGCTGAGGTAGCCTAAGGACAAAAAGAAGTCTGAAACCACTCTGAAACACCCGCTGCTCACCATTTACAACGCTCTCTCTCTCCTCTCCCTCTTCCTCTCTTTGTCTCTCTGTCTCTCTGTCTCTCTGTCTCTCTCTCTCTCTCTCTCGCCTTCTGTTTGTCTCCATCTCTGTCTCGTGCTATCCTCTTTTCCCGACCGCTGCATGTCTTTCGGACCGTAATGTCTACAATAAGAGTACGTTTTGGGTGCTTGCTTTTCCGGACCGCTGCACGTCTTTCCGGACCGCGATATCTACAATTAGAGTACGTTTTGGGTGCTTGCTTTTCCGGACCGCTGCAGGTCTTTCCGGACCGCGATATCTACAATTAGAGAACTTTTTGGGTGCTTGCTTTTCCGGACCGCTGCAGGTCTTTCCGGACCACAATGGCTACAATTAGAGTACGTTTTGGGTGCTTGCTTTTCCGGACCGCTGCATGTCTTTCCGGACCACAATGGCTACAATTAGAGTACGTTTTGGGTGCGTGCTTTTCCGGACCGCTGCAGGTCTTTCCGGACCACAATGGCTACAATTAGAGTACGTTTTGGGTGCTTGCTTTTCCGGACCGCTGCTCATCTTTCCGGACCGCAATGTCTACAATTAGAGTGCGTTTTGGGTGCTCGCTTTTCCGGACCGCTGCATGCCTTTCCGGACCGCAATCGCTACGATTAGAGTACGTTTTGGGTGCTTGCTTTTCCGGACCGTTGCACGTCTTTCCGGACCGCATGTGTTTCAAGTACAATCTGTTTTGAGCCCCTTCTTTTGGATGTCTTAAGAACTAGGTAGCCCCATAACCGGCCCCAAAAGATGTCTGAAACCAGTTCGACACATCTTCCTGCTCACCGTCTCAAGACTTCTTCTTTCTCTCTGTCTCTTTCTCCCTTCTCTTCTTTCTTTTCCCGTTCTTTCCTGTTTTTTCTCCAAAACTGAGGTAGCCTACGGACAAAAAGAGGTCTGAAACCACTCTGAAACACCCCGCTGCTCACCATTTACAACGCTCTCTCTCTCCTCTCCCTCTTCCTCTCTCTGTCTCTCTCTCTCTCTCTCTCGCCTTCTGTTTGTCTCCATCTTCCATCTCTCTCTCTCTCTCTCTATCTCTCTCTCTCTCTCTCTTTCCCTCTTCCTCTCTCTGTCTCTCTCTCTCTCTTTCTCTACCTTTTCTCTTTCTTTTTTCATCTCCCAAAGCTGGGGGTACCCAAAAAACAAGCCCAAAAGAGGTCTGAAACCACTCTGAAACACCTTCCTGCTTACCATCTCCGGACTGCTGCTGCATGTCTTCCGGACCGCGTTGGCTGCTTTATCTCTATCTATCTATCTATCTATTTATCTATCTATCTGCTCCTTTTTCTTTGGATGGCCTATTTACCACCCTGGTTATCTATGTTTATCAACTCGAGATATTAATATTTAAGATCTAAATCAGATACGGTAGTAGTAGTAGTAGTGGTAGTAGTAGTAGTAGTAGTAGTGGTAGTAGTAGTAGTAGTGGTAGTAGTAGTAGTAGTGGTAGTGGTAGTAGTAGTAGTAATAGTAGTAGGAATAGTAGGACTAGTAGTAGTAGTAGTAGTAGTAGTGGTAGTGGTAGTGGTAGTGGTAGTGGTAGTGGTAGTAGTCGTCGTCGTAGTAGTAGTAGTAGTAATCAAAATGTTAATTAAAAATAGTATTTGTAATAATGATAACAATAGTACTTGCGCGTACCTTGGGCCGCCCTTGCGCGAAACTTGCGCGATGCAGGTTTTAGACCATGGGAAAAATGCGAGAATAGGTCCTTTACTAAAAACCTTTCTGGGGTTTTTGGACGGCTCCCATATATTTATTTATATGTGTGTGTGTACATCTGCCTGTATATTATAGGACAACGTGGAAAACATACAAACCTATGGATGCACACATGCAGACTCCATTGCAGGCGCAACATTTCGTGCGAATTTCTTGCAGGGGAAGTGCATATTTGACACACAGTAGTGTGGGAAGTGGGCATAGGCATGGCAGATTTGTGGCTGTTTCAAGCTCCTGATTGCACCACAGTAGGAGCATGCAGTTGTCTTTGGGATGCTGCTGATTTCATGGCAATTTTGGCAAAGCATTCGAAATTTCTGAAGCTTCGTGCAGCAAAGGCAACACGAGTACTCACCAGAGTACTCAAGAGATTTCTTACACAAAGCACGCTTATGTGCACACTTGGACAAGGGACGCTGGTATAGGTTGATGCATCATGTTGCATCGCTGTACATCGATCACTTTGCACATACTGGTATGACGCAGCAGTATACCTAGCATAGTTGCCAATTGCGCGCTGGAGGCCGGTGCTGTGGGAGCCACTTTTCGCCCGTTCCTTTTCCTTGCAATACTGTTCATATCAAACAAGGCGGTCTTGCTGCCACTGCCCTGCTATTGGAGCCTGAGCTGAGTGGTTTGTGGACCAAAGACTTGCACTGCCCTTCTGCACTCAAATTGAGAGTAAGGAAGCAATCCTACATCAACAAAATCACACAAGCGGCGAACAAAGCAACCAGCTATCGCTCACACATCCATTGAGGAGTCATCAAATTGAATTAAATATGAGTCATGATGAGTCATGCAGTGGGCCCCCACCAAATTCAATCGTCGGGGTGCACCAGGCACACTGCTTCGCACACCTGCACAAAACACTTAGGTGCCTTGACAAGACCGGCAAGATCCAGCAAGGTACCAAGGCATAGCAAGGCCACTGCGCAAGTTGTCACATCAACAGTGCCTGGACTCGCATCCGACGGCGAAGCGGCCTCGCGTGATGCGCGAGAGGAAGTTAAGGTGAAGGAAACTGGGTCCTGACAACAAACTCATTAATGTAATTAAGATGTATTATATAAAATCATTGGTTTTGAAAACTGTGCCAGGGCAATTCTTTCGATAAGGAATACAAGACTGAGAGGAGGACCCCTTGACAGGCCACCAAGTCGATTGGACCTGCAGAGCTTATCATCTTCATGAACAATTCATGAACAAGTTCAGCTTCTTTCAACTTTGCTCACAGCAAATCTTGGCGGTTTGGCTAGTAGCGATGGCTTCCTCGATATGCTCCATGCAAGAAGGCCTCAAGGCGGATAGCAAATTTGACAATAGCGTTGTGGCTTCTTCTGGTCAGCTGATGCCACGTTCCACTACAAATTAGGGTCAACACTGCCGCAATGTTTCCTTCACCTTTCATGCAAGACCCACTTGGCTGTGAGGCTTAAGCTTGGAAGCGCAAAAGAATCAGACCATACCGAGCATGGAAAAGCGCTGATCACTTCTGCAAAGTTGGTGAGCTCAGCAAGTTAATTTTTGTTGCCTGTACTGTTTGGCAAAAGAGCAACCGGTTAGTCAATGTCTGACTGCAGTAAGTTTACGAATACGGGCCGGCAAAGCAAGAGCAGCTTGCTGCGAAATCGCATAGAACTGCTTTCCATCAGAGGCTGTTGAAAGGAAAACGACAATAACTTCGGATCCTGGCAGCCCACTCAAGGTGGAAAGCTGATTTGCAGTTACGATTTGTTGCAATGCACAATCAATAAGAATCCACAGCAACTTAGAACCTATAACTATGACAAATTGTGTGACAAATTGTGTGACAAATTTAATGACAAATTGTGCCAACTGCTTCACGGACAGAGTGTTCAAATGCTTCAGCTGTTCCAAAATGATGTGCCTTCAATGCAGGAAATGTAGGCGTAAGCAAAGCCCTGCATGGAGTAGTGATGTTGCACCGCAAAAATACGGAACAAATTGCCAGATCAAAGCTGCTTTGTCCCCATTGTATGCGAGTCTGAGTGTTCTGTGCCGATCTGTGCCTTGTCGTTGTATTGGCTCAAGCAAACAGGAGTCCACGACTCACCAGTCCGCAGCGATGCAGAGGACATGATGATATTTACCACCATACCTGGCACTAGAATCACAATGTCAAGATCAGAACACCTGGAACTCAGGTTGCATCATGTGGAATCAAATGCGTTCAAAAAAACGAACATATCAGCAACAAATGCAAGCGTGACCCAAGTCCAGGGAGTTGAGGCGGTATTGCCTGACACGCACTTGCAATTCAAACGTCTCTTGATAGGGCTCAGTACATAAGCTGCTCAGTTCACCAACATTATTGCAGCGATCCTGTTGGACACAGCTGCCAGAATTCGATGCCCAGCCTTAGTATCGCACCACGCCCTCAACTTGGAAGAGCAGTGCTCTCTACTGATCTAAACCTTTTGATGTTTTCCAGATCCTGTATAGTCCTGTACATTTTGCATTGGTTCCCACATTGGACTGAAAAAAACAACAGCACTTGAAACCTTTGAGCAAAAAACATACTATTTCAGAGTACCACAGTTCAATCTGACCGTAAAACATGAAGGCCTGAGACTTTGTTTCATCAACATTGAGCAAGGGTCAGAAAGCAATTTTGCAATCCTAAAGAACAATCCTGAACTTTGAGCCCGAGGCCATCAAAAATGCAAAAAGCACGTTTGGCAGGCGGGCACCCTTCAGAGCCTTGCAACGTGCAACCCGCAACAGGATGCGAAATGGGGGGGAGTTGGACCAGTACAGCCACTCCAACAACCTCACACCAGAGATTTTTGCAATCCTCTGCATTCTGCCCAAAGGGCCAAAGGGATAGGCATGTCATATTGCTGATATTGTGAGAGTGGGTGCACTTACAGTACCTCAGGTAAGCTAAGCAACACTTCCAGGGAAAAACGAGGCCGGTTTTCTATACCTAAAATCGCGTCTCCCAGTGTCCAAAAAATGTGGGCTAAGACAATAAGGTCTCTCTCATCCAGCAGCCACTGGAAGTTTGACTTGAATGGCAGCTCAAAAGGCTGACCTTTGGTATCTTTCAGCATCCTTCAGCGATCTAAACATCAAAGATCATCAAAGCATGTGATTAAGGCCTTTGAAGTCAGAGTCCCGTTTTCACGGGCCGCCTCTACAGCCACTGCTCGAACAGTTGGAGGCAGAGGAAGTGACTCAAAGCCTTCACACTGTAGGAACATGTCCTGGCAAGAGCGGAAAGTTAACGTACATGATGATCTTGATGTACATGTCAAAAAAAAATAATGAGCAGGGTCAAAGCGGCCAAACCATGTCAAGAGAAGAATGCAATCAAGTGGATAAAGTTGAGCAAACCATGTGTCCTGCACGCACCATCTGATCATGTTGTTGACGACTCGTTCAGTGCCTCTTCCAAGAAACAATGCAATTGCAAATTCAACGTTTTTTCTGTTACCAAGAAATGGTCATGGTTTCCATCCAATTACCGAAACTGCGAACCTTTCATAGCAAATTATGAACATCATCATTATCATAATATAATTACATATTATTACAACATAAAAAAAATAGTATTGCATAGTATACGGTTACTATAACATAACATAACATAACATAACATAATGTAAAATAATGAAATGCAATATAATGAACCAAAATACAATATATAATAAAAATAATACAATATAAAATAATATAATATAATGTGATATAATATTAAAAAAAAACAAATAAAAATATTTAATACAATATAATATAATATAATATATATAATATAATACAATATAATACAATACAGTATAATATAACATAATATGATTTAATATAATACCGTATAATATAACATAATATGATTTAATATAATATAATAAAATAAAGTATCATATAACATAATATAATATAATATAATAAAGTATAATAAAACATAATATAATATAACAAAGTATAATAAAACATAATATAATATAATAAAGTATAATATAACATAATATAATAAAATATCAGATAATATCATTTCATATCATTTCACATCATCTCATCTCATCTTATCTCATATCATATCATATCATATGCGCCTACCCCGGCCGACGCTGGGGGGAGCGCGCTAGGGAATAGGAGTTCCTGCCGGTTTCAGAAAGGACGGGGCTTGTCCGTCTTGCAAGGGCATGGTGTTTTGCTGTTGGGAGCTGCTTTTGCTGCTTTGGCAAGCAGCAGCAGCATAGCCCCAAGGATGGGCCAACATAGCCCCAAGATGGGCCCACATAGCCCCAAGATCGGCCAACATAGCCCCTAAGATGGCCACAAGCTGGCAACATAGCTCGAAGACGGGCCAACATAGCCCCAAGATGGCCACAAGCTGGTCCAAGAGGGGCCAACATAGCTCGAAGACGGGCCAACATAGCCCCTAAGATGGCCCCAAGCTGGTCCAAGAGGGGCCAACATAGCCGCAAGCTGGGCCAACCTCGCCTCAAGATGCGCCTACTACAGACCTTGCGGATGGGCCACAACCACCACCGCCACCACAACAACAACAACAACAACAGCAGCAACAACAACAACACCAACAACAACACCAACACAAACACCAACACCAACACCAGCGGCAACAGCATCAACAGCAACAGCAACAACAACAACAACAGCAGCAGCAGCAACAACAACAACAACAAGACCAACACCAACACAAACACAAACGCCAACGCCAACACCAACACCAACACCAGCGGCAACAACATGAACACCAACACCAACACCAGCGGCAACAACATCAACAGCAACAACAACAACAACAGCAACAGCAACAGCAACAACAACAACAACAATACCAACACAAACACAAACGCCAACACCAACACCAACACCAACAACATCAACAGCAACAGCAACCGCAACAACAACAACAACAACAACAACAACAACAACAACAACAACAACAACAACACAAACACCAACACCACACCGACACCAACACCAGCGGCAACAACATCAACAGCAACAACAACACCAACCACAACAACAATAACAAGAAGAACAAGAAGAACGAGAAGAACAATCAGAACAAGCACAAAAATGTGACAAAAAGATATGTGGTAAGATGGTTACAAGCTGCGGTATGACAAGAACATCACACTGTGCTCTGCACCTGCGCGCACGCGCAGAGCACATGAACAACACCAACGCTCACACTAATATACATAACCCTTATGGCATCGCCGGTGTGCGAAGCTCTACAAAAATATAATATAATATAATATAATGTACAGTAATATAATATGATATAATATGTATGTATGTATATATATATATACATATTCACTTGTTATGTATATTATAATATTATATATATATTATAGTGTATACTGCTTCCTCCAAGCAAAGCTCAATCAATCCTGGGCAGGTTTGATTTTCAACAAGAAGTTTAACCTTGGTCAACAACGAACAGCAGTCTAGCAGTACATCAGATTGAAAGGTTCTGGCTGGATTCGACTCTCCCGTCAGACAAATTGTCCAGAGCTCTCAAGACAACCAGCCATACACTCCAGTTGATGGAAAATGAACCGAAATGAAATATAAGTTCGGGGGAAGATTAGATGCTTACATGATGGTTCTTGTGGCAGCTTCTTTCAAACCGGAGTCAGAGTCTATTTACAGAAGCCAGCCAGACTTTATCAAAACGGAGTGACGCATTCTGTGCCTCCAAGCAAGCCTCTCATGTCATAGTTTGGTCGACTCACCAAGGTTTTTTCCTCAAGTCATCCAACTTGATTTAAATACTCTGGTGGCCATGGAAGCAGCTGATGAGATCATGTAAGATCCATATTCGCAAAGCGGCAATCCCGGCAGTAAGGATCGTGATGATTTGCATGTGCACTCGCCTGACTGCAAAAGCAAGTGCTTTCATCATTTTACTGGCAGCATCTGGCAGCGTGGTTTTTCCATGTTTTTCCGTCTTTGTGGGGAGATAGAATCGCTGTGAGAAGAACAGTTTGAACTCTCATGGGTGTCTACACAGTCTCAGTCTACACCCAATCTCTTTTCTTTTTGCCTCTGCATTCTCTGCTTAGATCTGCTTAGTCTCTGCTCAGCAGCCAACTCTAAAAGTGCCACCATATCCGCATAGAGGTCGCCAGTGCTAGAGATGCAGACCAACCTAAGGCGCATCAAGGTATGAAAGTGAAGTTACGCGGCAGTCTTGGCAATATTACATAAGACTACTAGATTCATCTAGATTCAGGGAAAACCTGCTGAAACCGAAAGGATCGGAAACGCCTGTGCAGTGTGTAGGAAGATGGCGATTAAGTCATTAAGTCGAGCCATTGATGGATAGACTGGGTGATTAAAAAATGAAGAGGTGATGGGTGAGTTGGATTTTCGAGTCAGTGGTTGGGTGATTCCGTGAGTGACTCAGAGCAATGACTTTAGTGCCGAGAAAACTGATGGAATTCACGTACAGTATTGGCTTGGTGAGTGAATCCTTGAGTCGCTGGTCCAAAGAGTCTTTGCATGACTGAATGTGATGAATGAGTGTTTCATCAATGAAATGAACGATTCATGCGCAGCTTGGGTGAATTGTCGAGAGTGCGCATTGTTGCGCGTTTCTTTGAGTAATTGATTCTGTAAGTTACAGTATTCCTCGAACAGAACTTCAAAATTGATTGATTGAGCAAGTCCATCATTGTGCGATTACAGAAAGGGAGTGATTTATTGAGCAACTGATTGTGAGTGCTGCCATTCATAAAATGAGCGTTGAACAAACTATGGCTAGCGGCTGGCGTACAGGTCTAAAGTGGTTCTAGAGCATCTTTTATCCTGGACTTCCAAAGAAATCTAGAACCTCAACGTAGCACCATGATTTCCAGACCATTCTTGCGCAATCAAAAAAGAAAAAAAACACAAATATAATCAAATATATCCATACGGCAGGAATAAAGAAGAGGACCAACAGGACCTCGCACACGTCTGTTCTCTTGTGAAACTTGCCAGAATGTCTACACTCCTCTCTTTGATTACTTGGCAGTACGCACTACTTTACCATTTGTTGCCTACCTGGATACTTTCCTCTATCCTTGAACTCGAGGCCCAGGGTGAGTTGGAAAAGCTAAGAACAACAAAAGGCAAGCACAGCATAGCTCAGGCAAACTGCTTTTTGGGGAAGAGAAACAACGAGCCTAAAAAACACCACTCAGTAACTTGATCACTTAACCTACTTAGCCAAGGTTCACTAAGCTGCGTGCCCCACTGTCTTTCATTCATCTGATTTCTGTCCCTCACTCTGAAGTCTTCCCTTCATGCTGTGTTGTATTCCCTCTTCCCTTCATGCTGTTCATCAAAAAAGTTCTGTAGTTCCGGAGAACACATGTCTTTACAGAAGATGCTTTCACGGTGCTCTATGGTTGCACTCTGAGGCAGGCAACCACAGTGGCCCTTTCTCCAAGAATGCAAATACATGCTCGCCTGCCAACATGTACCTGACAGCTCTCGGCCTCTCGTTCAAACAGAGCTACCTGTGATTTTCGCTGTGTTCAGGTGGGCTTTTGATTCTTCAACTGTGGGTACTGGATATTTTGTGGTATATGGCCGCAGACATGTCTGGCATGGGCTCAAGCCTCAAGCAGTCCGTCGATGTGCCATTGCAAAAGAAGAACCGTGCCATCTTTGACCTTGGGTATGAGAGATCCGGTGCCTTTCCCACATTCTGAGTTTCGCTGACAATCTACGTTCTTTGCTCTCTTGAAGCCTCTGCAGTTAATCTCTCAGACTTTGACACGATGGCTGACAATGCACCGGTGGTGCCACTGAGCCCATCCTGCAAATCAAAAGGGAGCCAGAGTACCAAAACTATCTCCTCTGGAAATCTGGAAAACAAACGAGATCAGAGCAGCTTCAATTGAGGATTTCTCTCATGTTCCCTCTCAAAGTTTCCTTTCACTTGCATCCCACCCATATGGGGAATCCTATCTGGTGGGAATCGCAAACCTTCTGTCGGGCATCATCTTATCTTGGCACAGGAGAGCAGCAAACAACTTTAGTTCGCTGTCCACAAGTTGAGAGATGGAACGGGGACAAAATGCCCAGGAGCGGGATACACACAGAATGTTGCAAGTATGCTGCATCTGCGCAGCATCTTCTAGAAATTCTAAGCACACAATCCCAGTCTGGCAAGCAGAACGGTAGACCCCGGCAGCCTTAGACATGCTCCATGCCGAGCAGCAGGTAGTAACCAAGAGCAAGACAGGTAATGTCAAGAACATATCAATTGCCAGGAATAAAAGGTTTCGGAAGCAAACTCTATGAGACTGTCACGCTTGGCCAGCACCACAAGCAGCAAAAAAAACTATGCTTATGTAAGTCCTCGCCCCAGTATTATGCCAGTGTCCTTTGGGTCCCCATGGTCAAAACTTGCAAACAAGTGGATCAGTCTCCTACAGACAGTCCATCACATCTGTCAAACATAGCGTGCCATGCTGATAGCTCACAAAGTATATGGTTGCAAAACCGAACATGTAGACTTCCAAAAACACTCAAATGTGTGTCTTCAACTACTAGACACAAGGCGAACTCGTGTACTAAAATCTGTTTGAAATGAGTTCTCCATCAAAATTCATAGAACTGCTTTCAAGTGTTGCTCTCCTGGTAAGTATGAGGTCTTGAAGAGCCCTTCACAATTTTCTCCGCAGGATCACATGAACGCCAAGCTTTGCAGGCTTAAAGTCTGGTCAAATTCATGAATGAGAAAGCTTCTGGAAATGTCTAAGTGCGGACGACAAAGGGATGGAGGGACTTGTTTTATAGACGCCTCACCTGATGCTTTATTTTTGCCAGTGCAGAGCAACGTACATATTTGATCCTATTTGTGTGTGTGTGTTTGGGAAACCCCTCGTGCTATGAAAGTGCTTTGTGAACGCTAACGCAGTGCTGAAATAGTGACAGTGCTTGTGGTGATGTCCAAATGTGTATCCGTCTGTGACAGCCGTTGACAAATTGCTGCAAAAGTGCTCCAAATGTACCAAGGTGCCTACACTGTCCTAAACAACTATGTGCCGAACTATGCATTCTGAATCAGAACTTTTTCTGTAGTAATAGTATGTCAAACTGCACTTGCACCACAACGTAGAAAGATCCTAGAAAAGAAAGTTGCAGCTTTCCTTCCGAAAATGCGCTCTTGCCTACATAGGCTCCGGACATGCAATTACTGCATGAGCGTCGTATATGAGCCCCAAGGAAGCGCATTATGGTGCCACTTTCGCTCCAGCTTTCTTTCTAAAGGTGGTGTTCAACTCCATGCAGTCCATGCAGTCCATGCAGTCCTCTTCGCCATAACGCGAATATACTGGCTTTCCACTGTAGGTGAATACCTCAAAGGAACAGAGTCTGTGAAACAGCTCATCCTATCTTCAGGGACTTTGGTTTACAAAGTTTAAGGACCCTACCAGAACATGTCGCTTGTGAAGGTACCTTGGCAAGTGACTTAAAGTGCCCTACAGCTTGTGAAGTGCGAAGTGTGGGACAAAAAAAATCGTCGCACCATTCCTTCGTCTCGTCGGTCTGATCGCAACATTTTTGATGCGGTTTCCGCCAAATGCGATGACTCCTGCGAGATTTCCATTTGCCAAATGCGTTCACAAAAAGAGACAAGTCAGAAAAGGCAAAGCAACACAAAAAGCAACCTGCGGCACGCCGGGCATGCAGGTGGCAAAGCTGCAGGAAGCCAAGACGCAAGAATGTGACAAGTGCAGTTGAGGAACGAGTTGGGAGAGATGTTTCTGTATTCTCTATTGAATTTATTGCCAACAAGCCTTCAATAGCCTTCAATAAGCCTGCAATAAACCCTCAACAAGCCTTCAATAAGCCTTTGATAAGCAGCAAAATGAGGGAAATAAAAAAAAACTCAAATATTGAACGCCCATGCAATTTTGTCAGTAGAGTATCTGCACTAGTGTGTGTTTGAGTCTTGTATGAGCAACACAGGGACAGACAGAGACAGACAGGGACAGCTGTGTGCCACAAAGAGTTTCAATTGGCAACCAATGTAAGCCCTGAACCCATCGCTTGGTGACGCAAGTGAAGGCACCATTGGGCGAGAGGACGATGCATACCCTGCCCTGGCGCTGAAGATGCACCCCGTATACCCCGTTGTACCAAATGATGCGGTCTATTGCGGTCTTGCACCCAGTTTGTGTTTAGAGTGGTTTGCAGTTTGCCATGAGAATAGCAGCAAGGGAAACTTCCAGAACTTAAAGATAAACAAAGCCTCTCCAAGGTAGTGGAACGTCTGTGAACAGCATCTTATTGCTGTTCGAAGTATTCACCTCTATCGAAAACCATGCCAGCTTTTCTCCACTGTCTCCGCCTAGATTCAAAGCATTCGACCAAGCAACATTCACCCTGTTAGGATACACATGCAAAATATTGCCAAATGTTGCAAGATGCTGACCCAGTGTGTCTGGACAGGTGAAAGAATCAGCTGGCCTCGGCAATCTTAGTGGTTCTGGAGCTCTCCTGCGTGCGGTTGCTTAAAACATGTCAACCTGCTTCTTCAAGCGCTGAAAATATTACATATACATAAGAACTATATACATTATATAATCCTGCATGTTATATACATAATATATATATATATATTATATTATATATATATATTATATTATCCGCCGACCCCTGCCGTCAGCAGGGGGAGCGCGTCAGAGGAGGCCTTACTAGCAACAAGATGCCAGAAGGGGCGAAGAGTTTGTGCAGAACGAAAGCCGGCTCCAGAAGGACACGAGCAGGGTGGCAGTTGGCAATGTAGAAACGCGGGAAAAGTCAAGGTTTGGAGCTAGTTTCTAGTCGGCTCAGAAAGTGACGTTTGGCAGTCTGGGATACGGGCCGCGGGCCCAATCCGTCCTTCACTGCCATGGTGTTTTAGCCCTGCGACACGGTCCTTGGACTCCAGCTTGCACCGAAGCGGTGCAGAACGAAAGCCGCCGGCTCCAGGAGGACACGAGCAGGGTGGCAGTTGGCAGTGCAGAAACGCAGGAAAAGTCAAGGTTTGGAGCTAGTTCTAGTCGGTTCAGAAAGTGACGTTTGGCAGTCTGGGATACGGGCCGCGGGCCCAATCCGTCCTTCACTGCCATGGTGTTTTAGCCCTGCGACACGGTCCTTGGACTCCAGCTTGAACCGGAGCTGTGCAGAACGAAAACCAGCTCCAGGAGGACACGAGCAGGGTGGCAGTTAGCAGTGCAGAAACGCAGG